CCGAGGTTTCGGCAAGGGGCGGCATAGAAATGTTATAATAATAATAAAAATAAAATAATAATTTTTGATCACATCTTTGAGGAACTTCTTTGCAAGCTGGGTGCCACTTAGAGGCGTCTTCCTTACCCAAGAGCCTGGCCTGTGTTTGCTGCCAAGATCCGCCGACAGACAGGCCCGGTTTCAGAGCTACGCCTCCGTGTCGGCGCCCTCGTCCCTTGTCCCGAGCTTTTGCAGGGCGAAGGTCGGCTGTGTCCTGAAGTGCTCCAAACCGGCAGCTGGATGGGCCGGTCGCGTCAGGCGCAGCAACTATTCAGTCTCCCCTGCTCATGTTTGCTCCCAGCTAAAGGGTCTCAGCTGCCATGTAACCCCCCCCCCCCAGCTATTTACATAAGAGGGCCCATCCTTTTGCCGGGACTGCCCAGGGGCCTTTGGGCGGGCCTGTCTTGTGCGAGTGCAGGGGAGCCTGAGCGGACCTCTGCTGGCACTCTGAAAAGGGAGCCGGGCCGCACCTTGGCAGGAAGCTCGCTCCTGGCCAAGCCAGACGGTGCTCTGCTTCTGGCCTGCAGCCAGATTTGCAGCCTAGCTCTTCCCCCAAAGGAGCTTTAGCCATCGCAGGGCGAGAAATCGGATCCGCTGTGGATCAGCACCCAGTAAGCTGACAGCGCTTGCGAGGGGGAGACACAAGGAACTGGGTCCCCCACGGATCTGCTTTGGGACAGGTGCTTTTCAGCTCCAGGTCTGGAGACCGTGAGAGCGAAAGGTGGGCAGGTTGCAGAGGCCGTGCTGGGAGGCGTCTGCACCAACTGCGCCTCCGCAGGCTGCCCCCCTTGCCAAGGGACCCTGCTCCTCCATGGACTCCTGCAGATGCCAGAGGAGCTGCCCAGACAAGCGCCCAGGGAGGCCCCCGGAAGGGGAACGCAGAGCCAGCCCCGGGGTGCAGCACTCGACCCTGCCCAGGCCTCTTCGCAAAGAGGCGGAGGGGACAAGCTGCCAGCTGCAAACCCAGCACCTGCAGCCGTGGCGCCACGAGGCAGCGCCGCAGCAGAAGGCGCTCCCGGCAATCGCACGGGCCTGGCTTGGAGGCGGACGCGGGCCTGGAGGACGGCTGGAACGCGAGGGACCAGAGGAGGAGCTGCTGGGCAGGCGCTGGGCCGAAACCACGACGCCCTCGGGGACCCTGACAGGGAGCAGCAGCTGAGCCTGCCCACTGCAGCCGGGGACCCTCTTCAGAGAGGACTGGGTGGTCTCTGACCCCAGGAATGCCGCGACTGACGGCTCCGTTGTCACGCGCACCTGGATACAACCCCAGGCTCCGCTTGGGCCGACTCCCACCTTTCCCCCGGCCCTCAGGCAGCTTCCGGCACTGACATGCCAGCACCCTGGCAGCGAAGCCGGCACAAGCAGGGCTGCGCTCAGCCGGGGATGCCCGGCTGGGGTGGGGGGGTCAGCTGTCCATCAGGATTTGAGGGGCTCCGCAGCTCACCCTGCAGAAGAGGGGACGCCCGTGTGGCCTGCAGACCCCTCGCAGCCACGCGCCCGCCGCCCTCCCCGAAGGGGCCGGCCCCAAGAAAGGCGACAGGGACGGCAGGCGATCTGGTGCATTCTCACTTTTATTCGGACACCCCATTTGTACAGCACGGTGCGGGGGCTGGCTGGGGCGCGGGAGCGGCTGCTGAGCGTGCAGTAGTGCAGGGCACCCCAAAGGCAGCCGCATGGGGAGGGGCGAGCAGGGCATGGTCCCTGGCGGCATCCAGGGTGGGGACCTCGCACCCCAGTACAAAAGGGCTCAGCAGAGCACAGTGCTGCAGACCCAGGGCAAGGACGGCCCCACCTCACACGCCCGGGGGGCCAGCAGGCGGCGGGGGCTGCTTGCCGGCTGGTTGGGAGAGGGGAGGCGTTCCCTGGACTCGGGGGGCGGCTCGAGACGGAGGTACAGTGGACAAGCCTTCGCCGTGGCGGCAGTGCGGAGTCCGGGAATGTGGAGGGCCAGCCGGGCAGGGAAGGGGCGGGGAGGGACTCTGCGGGGAAGCTCCCACCCAACCAGGAACACAGTCTCCGTGTGACCCGGGGCCCCAACGCTCCTGGCACCACCACGCACAGGAGGGAAAGGGAACCGGGGAGAGCCCAGGGAAGGGGGGGGGCAAGGGGCTCCGTCACGTCATGTCACCATTCGCACTTCAAAACACACGAGGGGGGAGATCAAGCCCGGCGTATTTACATCCCCAGCCCAAAGGGGCTCAGCCTGTCCCTCCACCCCGCAAACCCCGGAGAGATGCCAGGCGGAAAATCCATGCCTGCCAAGCGTGACAGTCCCTCCCGCCCGTGCGCCTTCCCCGCACGCTCCCTGGCAGGCCGGCCGAGGCCACCCCAGATCGGCCCGCTGCGCACGTTCTCCAGAAAGGCCCGAGGCAGGAAGGGAAAGGCAGGGGAACCCGAGACGGGGAGCGCGAGGGGGCCCAGAGCACAAACCAAGGGAAAACAAGGGACCCAGGAATCTTGGAAGCACGAGGAGGAGGAGGAGGAGGACCACAGCAAGGGGAGGGGCTCGTGTGGACGGAGCTCCATGCCGAGGGGCCAGCGGGCCACCTAATCCTTGGCACGGCCAATGATGGCCAGGATGTACAGGAAGATGTTGATGATGTCCGTGTACAGGTTGAGGGCTGCGAAGACGTACTCCTCGGGGCTGATGGAGAGCTGCTTGTTCCCCAGGATCATCTGGGTGTCCACGGCCAGGAACTGCAAGAGACCCGGAGGCTCGTTAGCAGGCGCGTGCAGCCCCCCCGCTTGGCCTGGGGGAAGCCGCACGTGGGCAGTGGCGGCAGGCAGAGGCACGAGAGCCTGTGGGGGCCGTAGGCGCCGGGAGGCTCCCGCTCGGAGTGGGAATCCGGCAGCCTTGGCTCATGCTGCGTGTGACACGCAGGAAGGTGTCCGGGGCGCAACCTCCACTCTGCAAGCACCGCGCACTCCCTCCCTCCCGGCTGCGCTCACGCTCCAGGGCAGGAGCGCGCAGAAACCAAGCCCCAGAAGGACGGGCTGGATGCCTCGCCCCAAGTGACAAGGGGTCAGCCCCCCGTTCCACGCCTGCCCTCACCCCCGTCCACCCCGCAACCATCCCACAAGGCTCCGCGCCTTCTCCAAACAGCGCCCGGAGCGATTCCCCCATTTCCGTGCGCTCAGCCCCCGCCCACGTGGCAAGGCGCCTCTGCGCCTCACGCTCCAGGGCCAGTCTGAAGCCACGGGGCCGAGCAGCCAGGAGGGGACCCGGGGGGGCCACGGGCTGGGGGCCGGGCTCAGAGGGGGCTGAGTGGGGCAGCTCCGCGGTCACTGGGAGACTCACGCAGGTGAAGAGCAGGGCTCCGAGGGAGGCGTAGACGATCTCCATGATCTTGTTCCGGATGAAGATGCAGAGGATGGCGAAGACGAACAGGACCATCAGGCAGACGATCAGGACTCCCCGGCAGGAAGTGAAGTCGTACTTGGTCTGCAGGGAAAGCGCGCAAGACGGAGCTCGGAGGTGCGCCAAGCCCCCCAGCTCCCTCCCCACTGCGCCCGACCACCGCAAGTGAGCGCCCCCCCCCCGGCAGTGGGACCTGATGCCAAAGCCCTGCCAGTGCGGCGCTGGCCCGCTGGGCCCACTGAGGCCGGCTGGTTCCCGCCATGGACCGTGGGCTGCAGGGAGCGGCTTGCCCGGCCTCCTGCGTGATGCAAGGACAGCCGGTGCCTGCGGGACCCTCCGGCACCAAGCTCCCGCTGGGGGCACCAGGCAGCCGCCGAGCCCCCGCCCCGGGGCAGCCCCCTGCCACCCACCTGCAGCGAGAAGAGGACCACGGTGAAGCAGACGATCGTGGTGATGCCCACGGCCATGATGACCGAGTCCGTGTCGTAGAAGCTGGCGATCATGCCCACCATGTAGGAGAGGGTCAGTGTCAGGACGGACTGTGGGGCAGAGGGGCTGCGGTCAGCCTGACGCCTCAGGGACCGAGGGGGCCGCCGAGCGATCCGGGAGCCCCAGGGAGGACCGCCGGGTCTCCTGTGCAGCAGGCAGCCGCGACCCTGCGGCAAAGGCCCTTTCGTGCCCGAGAGGCGTGCGCACCCCCTTGGGCAGGGCTCCCCAGAGAGGAAGCGCCCAGTCGGAAGGGGAGGCTCTCGAGAGGAAAGGAGCCCTTGGGCGAACCCCCGCGGCGGCCGAGCCCCGCCTGCTTCTCAGGATCCCCTGGCGAGGGGAGGCTCCAGGCCGCGGCCGGCTCCCCCGTCTCCTCGGCTGGCAGTCCACTGCCTAATGGCCGCTGGGCTACGGCCCGCTCTGCTGCAGCCCGACTGGCCTTCGTGGCTTCGCCCACAGCCAGGTCTCAGAGCCTTCCCTGCATGCCTGCGTGTGACCATTCGCCTCCAAAATCAGCGTCCTCCTCCTTTTCCTGGCGAGGCGCCGGACACGCTCCACCTCGCCCGACTTCTGAGTAGGCTGTGCAACCCTCAGGCTCCCCGCCTGCTGCGGCTCCTCCCGGGCAAACCGCAGCTCGCCTGCCCCGGCACACCCCTGAGCCCCATTAGCCACCGCGCCCCCCGTGGCAGATACCAGGGCCACGAGGTTCCAGGGGTGCCTGCGCCGGAAGTCCCCGCAGCAGCTGAGCGCGATGAGGGAGATGAAGAAGACGGCGTACGAGACGTAGTAGGTCCAGACGTGCTTCCGCACAAAGACCTTCACGTCCTTCACGAAGGTGAAGGTGGCCACGAAGGCGAAGGTCACGGAGAGCTGGAGGGTCAGCACCAGGAACACCTGCGGGGCAGGGCCGGGTCAGGCGCCTGTGGGCCGCTCAGTTCCAGGAAATTTGGGAAGCGTGAGCAGCAGGGCCAGCGCGGGACAAGGATCTTCGGCTTCCCCTGCCCCGGACGCGGAGAGCGGGCCCGCCACTGTCCAGCACCCCCAGCAGAGGCCACAGTCGGCATGACGGAGCCAGCGGCCCCACCTCCGGACCCCTCCTCCCGGAGGGGCCAGGCCCAGCTCACCTTGCGAATGAAGGCCTGGCGGATTTTCGTGTCCTCCCAGTCTGTGGAGGGAGAAATGCCGGTTTCTGCGGAATGCTGCTCCATCCTGACGGGAGTGTCGGAAGTCACGTTCCCCCAGCACGAAACAGCTGCATTGTTTAATGCGCAAACGGGGATTGTGCCCACTCCGTTCCCGCAGCCAGGACAGTGTGGCCGCCTGGCATGCCGCTTCCCCGGGCCCGGGGCATCTGAGGCTGGCTGTGGCTGGCGCCTGCATCATCAATGGGCAGGACAGTGACCCGCGCTGGCTGCTCTGGGGGCTGCAGGCCAGTGGTGAGGACGCTAGGAGCGCAGAAGTCGCTCCCAGGAACTAGGACCTTGGGCGCCCAGGTTCCAGTCCCTGCGCGGCCTGGAGCCGGTGGGGCAACGTTGCGCCAGTCGCAGGGTCTGAGCCCAACCCGCCTCACAGGGTGGCAGTTGTGCAGACGAGCAGGAGAAGAACGACGGGAGCCACTTTGAACTTGTTGCAAGAGAAAAGCAGGATAGAATTCCTGTTGTTGCTGTTCCGTCGCAAAGTCATGCCCGATTCTTCGCAACCCCATGGACAACACTCCTCCAGGCTCTCCTATCTTCCCCCATCCCTCGGAGTCCACCCAAGCCCACACCCGCCGCCCCAGTGACCCCATCCAGGCACTCCTCCTCTGCCACCCCTTCTCCTTTTGCCGTCACTTGTTCCCAGCATCAGACTCTTCTCCAGGGAGTCCTTCCTTCTCATTAGGTGGCCAAAGGATTTGAGCTTCATCTTCAGCATCTGGCCTTCCAAAGAGCAGTCAGGGCTGACCTCCTCTAGGACTGGTTTGATTGCCTTGTGGCCCAAGGGACTCGCAGGAGTCTCCTCCAGCACCACGATTCAAAGGCCTCAATCCTTTGGCGCTCAGCCTTCCTTATGGTCCAGCTTTCACAGCCATGCATTGCAACTGGGAAAACCGTGGCCTTGACTGTCCACACTTTTGTTGGCAGGGAGATGTCTCTGCTTTTTAGTATGCTGTCTAGATTTGCCATAGCTTTCCTCCCCAGGAGCAAGCGTCTTTTAATTTCTTGGCTGCAGTCCCCATCTGCGGTGATCTTGGAGCCCAGGAAAATAAAATCTGTCACTACCTCCATTTCTTCCCCATCTATTTGCCAGGAAGTGAGAGGACCGGATGCCATGCTCTTAGTTTTCTTAATGTTGACTTTCAAGCCAACTTTTGCGCTCTCCTCCTTCACCCACATCAAGAGGCTCTTTAGTTCCTCTTCACTTTCTGCCATTAGAGTGGTATCATCTGCATATCTGAGGTTGTTGCTATTTCTTCTCGCAATCTTAATTCCACCTTGCTATCATTATATATCTAGCCCAGCCTTTTGTATAATGTACTCTGCATATAACCTAATTAGGCAGGGCGACAGTATACAGCCTTGCCGATCTCCTTTCTCAATTTTGAACCAATCAGTGGGTCCGTGTCCAGTTCTCACTGTTGCTTCTTGACCCACATAAAGGTTTCTCAAGACAGTAAGATGGTCTGGTACTCCCATCTCTTTAAGAACTTGCCACAATTTGTTGTGATCCACACAATCAAAGGCTTTAGCATAGTCAATGAAACAGAAGTAGATTTTTTTCTGGAACTTCCTAGTTTTCTCCATGATCCAGCATATGTTGGCAATTTGAACTCTAGTTCCTCTGCCTCTTCGAAACCCTGCCTGTGCTTCTGGTAGTTCTCGGTCCACATACTGTGGGAGCCTAGCTTGCAGGATTTTGAGCATCACTTTGCTAGCATGTGAAATGAACACAATTGTTTGGCAGTTTGAACATTCTTTGGCATTGCCCTTCTTTGGGACCGGAATGTAAACTGACCTTTTCCATCCCTGTGGCTACTGTTGAGTTTTCCAAATTTGATGGCATATTGAGTGTAGCATTTTAACTGCATCATCTTTTATATATATATATATACATATATATAATCCTATATAGTTTCTAGAAAGAGAGACTGAGTCAGAAGGGGGCTCCTGGGCCATCTAGTCTGTCCCCTGACTCCAGCCAGCTCTGCCCATGACATGCCCACCATGTGCACGTCCAGCCTGTCCTTGGACACCCGCACCGATGGGGCCTCAACCACCTCCCGGGGAAGCCCATCCACACCCTCGGGGTCCTGCCTGTCAGGAAGTGCTTCCTGGCATCCAACCTAAAACAAGGTTCCTTGAGCTTTGCCCCATTGGATTGTGTTCTGCCCTCCACCGCAGGCGAGGTTAGGTCATGACCCTACCGTGTCCAAAGGACCCAGAGGAGGGCAACAAGAATGATCCTGGGTGTGGAAATGCGTCCCTGTGAAGAGACTGAGAGAACGGGGCACGTTCTGCCTTGGGAAGAGAAGACCGAGGGGGGACATGAGCTCCCTCTGTAAGTCCCCCAAAGGCTGCCCCAAAGAGGGAGGTCAAGATCTCCTCTTGCTGACGCCAGAGTGCAGGACGCGGAAGAATCAATTCAACAATTGCAACGGATTAAGATTCGGGCCGGACATCAGAGCAATACGACAGTGGGACCAGCTGCCCGGAGAGGTGGGGGGCTCTCCCACTCTGGAGACATTCAGCAAGAAACTGGGCAGCCCTCCGAGTGGGGTGGTGCAAACTGGTGTCCTGCACCAGCAGGGGGTGGGAGCCCATGCCCTTCATGGCCCCTTCCAACACTCTTATTCTACAGTGCTTTGGCACTCCCTCACATAACATACCGGTATGTCGCTACATCCTTCAATCATTAACATTTTGGGTGAGTAGCAGCTTTGGACTGGCAGTCAAATGAATGCAGTCTTGGTGCCAGAGGCACCTCTCTGGGGAGCAGGTTGCAGGGCCGGGGTGCCAGTGCAGAAAGGGCCGTTCCCCGGGGAGCCGCTCTTCCCACCTGGAGAAGGGCCTAGGGGATCCCCCATGTCTGGGCAGGTGGATAAGGAGACGCTCCTGCTATCCAGGCCCCAAGCTCTTAGGGGTTTTATATGTCAACGTCAACATCTTATACTGGGCCTGGACTTCAGCTGGTGACCAGTGTGGAAGACAGAGGACGGGCGCTCCGTGGTCCCATCTGCCAGTTCGAGTGAGCAGCCGTTTTGTTCCAACCGGCGTTTCTGAACCCTCCCCAAGGGCCGCCCCTCGCAGCATGCGCTGCAGTAGCCCAGTCAGGTTGCCAGATCCGTTCCTTCTGCTAGTGGCACCGCCCTCATCGGTCTGCTGGGGGCATCCTCCAGATTTCTTTGGAAGCTCAGGTGACAGCGGTAGCAAGGAACGCCTTCCTTCAGCTTCGGCTGATTAATCAGCTGCGCCCCTACCTGGAGTACGACTGCCTGGCGACGGTGACACACGCGCTGGTGACTTCCCGCCTAGACTTCTGTAACGCGCTTTACGTGGGGCTTCCCCTGAAGACAGTCCGAACACTTCAATTGGTGCA